TGAGCCTATTGCCATTTACCGGGCACAATTCCAGACTACGTGCTACTACTTAAATGAGATTTTTTTTAAAACCAAGTAATACTTTGCCAGACCCGGGAATAGAACCCGAGACGCCTTGCCCGGCAGACGCACTTGCAACTACTCGGCCAACGAGGTAGTGTACATATACGAAGACATAACAATACTATAATAAATAAAAATAACAATATAAGCATCATAACTTATATTAAACGTTTTTTATCAAACAGTCTCTAAGAAATACGATCAAATGAAGAGTTTGATAGCAATCGGAAAATAAAAACTGAATGTAAATCGATTTGTGAACTTTTCTTCGTAGTTACAAAACTTTGTAAGAATCAGCAATGCGCGTTCGTTTTCTATACAAGAAAAATACAGTTTTTGCTGCAGTCAAACAAATACAATTATGTTTTTCTTCAGTTTCAGCTGAAGTGGAATGCATTTCAGCACTTGAAACTTTAAATTCTTTTGTTTATTTTCTAAGTTAGAAAAAACAAGGGGTGACTAATGAGGGTATTGATGCATACATTCTAAATCGCTCCCCTTATAAACACACACACACATTTGTGATCATTCACTTGAATCTTATGTCTATTTTAACTTAGAGAACACACTGAGACCTTTTTTCTTTTTTTATATCGTTGCCTCACATTGGGATTTTCTCCTGTGTCGTACGCTTACAAACATACAATTTGTCATAGACAAGAACTGCTACGACTAACTCATTGACTGACTGGTCGCAAGTGTGACTGCCGGGCAAGGGGTTTCGGGTTCGATTCCCGGGTCGGGTAAAGTATTACTGGGTATTTTAAAAATCTCAGTAGTAGCACAGAGTCTGGATATGGGCCCGGTATATAGGAATAGGTTCACCCCCTATTACATGGGACTCATAACATAAATAGTGAAAAGTGGGTGTTACATTGTGCAGTGGCATTAAGTGCCCTAATGTGCACCTCTACCTACCCCTTCGGGGGTAAAAGGCGTGATGTTATGTTATACTATGACTAACATTATCTCTTCTATTCACCGAAGAGTATAAAATCTTCAGTACATATTATCTAGACTACGTGTACGTCCGTCATTCATGATTCAGTTCTATAGTAGTTAATGTACGAGAAATCATAAGAATTATAACTTAAACATGATTTTTAGACAGAGAAATCATATTACCCCAACCTGGATTGGACTAAAGACTAGCTAAGTACACACGCTTAAGCGAAAAGGTATTGTAGGCAAACTAGGTCCTGAACACGCCCTTTCAAATACTAATTACTTTCAAAAACTCTAAGTACGAGTACATTACGAGAACAATAAGAAAACCTAACAAAGGCGTCTAATTAAAAAGATCTGTCCAAAAAGTTCTTTTCATGTACGATGAACATCTAATTTCCTCGTATTAAAAGATAAAAGCATTTTTAGGTCGTCATTCTAGACTTTTTGTTCCATACTTTGACTAACGAGATTATGGATATGAATTTTAGGGTCCTACAAAGAGATTGGGAGATCGTGTAAAGAGATATGAATTCTGATTTTGTTCGTCAGTGACTTTGATATCTAGTTACTCGTTTTTAACTGACTTCAAAAATAGAAAAAGGAGGTTACTCGGTTTGACGGTATATAATATGTTTGTGCGCAATTATCTCGCGTTTGGCTGAACCGAGATTGATGCGGTTATCAGAAAAATGTTCATGGCACATAGGAAAATGTTTTAGTGTATTACTTAACCGACTTCAAGAAAAAAAGAACGGGTTGTACCAGATTTTTTTAAAATGTAGTTTTAGAAAGTTGTTATCAACCTGTTTTTAGATATTTCCTCGCATAGGCATTAATAATAACATAATTAGCATAAGTATTGTATAAGACTAGATAAGTAAACTATTGCGAGTGATATTATTAAGACTTTTTATTACTATAAAATCTGAGCGATCTGTAATTGTAAATGCGTTCTATGTTTTTTTAATAAATTTAATTTATTCAATTTTTCATTTTTATAATTCATGTGTGTCATTCAGTTTAATTAAATGAAATATAACATTACTAAGCATATCTACTACAGACATTAAACACATACATTAAATATGTACTATATCTGATTATTTTTCTTCTCAAGTACTAAGCTGGGATACACATCCAATTTCCGATATTAGAATTATTAGTCTCATAAAATAGAAACGACTTTATTACAAACATAATAAAATATCTTTCATAATAACATAAATCACACAGATAACTAATATACAAACATAGAATACGTAATTAGGCTGTCTCTTAATCTAAAAGCCTAAGACTGCTGTAAAAACGTGTCTATCCTCAAGCGAGTTTCAAAGATGGCCTATTTTCTGGCGACCACATCTAATGGAAGGTCCTTTTTAATGTAAAATGCACACGAATACGCCAGCCACCGAATAAATCTCAAGTTTTAGCCGAAACTTTGAGTTATTCCGTATTCATTGGAGAGAACTGAAATCCGGTATAATAAGGAACTTTATCCGCGATGTCATACGTGAACTTATGTTCCGTGTAAGATATGGTAGTTCAAGATTGTGGAAGTTGTGATTAAGTCGAACAAATGGAGAAGGGAATGTATTTTTTTTGCTGTTCGTATTATACTCAGCTGGATGTAGATCGAAGATTATTGAATTTTAGTCTATATAGTACGTAACTTTAAGTTCAGTATAAAAATAACTATGTCTATTCTTTTGTAAGAATAATACATACAGGACTTTATTTTGAAGCCTAATAAGTAAAATAGTATGAATAAAAGTGTAAGTAAATGTGCCGTGTTATTTGTGAAATTATTTTATTAAAGTTGAACTCTGACTAGTAAGAGAATTTCGCAGTACACAATGCTAATGTTAGTTACCTTAAAAAAACCTTATTGGATAAACCATTTTAATACCGAATTCCATAACAATAAAATACAATTTAGTTTAACAATAACTAAAGTACTAGCTTATAACAAAGGAAGCCATTTGGCTAACGTTGATTAGGTCTTACTCGTGAAGTGACAGGCAATCTAGAAAATGATTTAAGCAATTTAGGTACAAAAAAATATTACTTAAGATTTGCGTTTTGATATTGTGAAGGTCAAAGGGTTTTTTAAAGGGGTTGCTGAAAACTGTTACATAATATTCTCAAAATGATTTCGTGTTCGATAAATTGAATTAATTTGATAAAAAACGTTAACAAAAATATCGCTTAAGTTTTTCAGTCTTATTTAAATTCCGAAACCATCTTCAGTCTTCATCGACAGTCCACTGCTGGACTACCTTCCTTACAATCATAAGAGAGGTTTGAAATGATTCCCACGTTTGTCCATATGTATCAAAGGCATTATATTTTTTATACTATCAGGGATTTATTCTAGATGTCATATATTGTGTTTTTATTGTCTCTCCATGACATTCGTGTTCGGTGGCTAGTTCTCAATGGAGGCAAGAAACCAAGAGAGGTCGTAAATCAAGTGTATGTTCTTGTACCAAACTGAGATTACCAATTTGCCTGCCAAACCCCATAGTTATAGTGGTATACTGCCAAAATTGCATGTTTTAGCTGGGTAAGCGGTCACTGAAACCTAAATATAATTGAGTAACCTTTAGACTTTAGAGGAAATTAGATATATTGTTCTTTTTGGGCTGTTGTCATATTTTAGTTTATATCTTATTCAAATTTCTACTCAAATAGGTAATATTAAATTTTAAATTGTGTCCGAGTGATTAAGTATCTTTTAAAATAAAATGATTGTCATTGTAAATTCGTTTATCGATTTAGAAATTTTAAACGTATAAGATTTCTTATTTTTTACTAGAAAATACGTAAAATGTTAAATAAACATTTCCAAAATTATTAAATCACAACAATACTCTTCTATAATTTTAAATTAATAAATTCACGATGACAACAACGAATTAATATTAAAAAACACAATTAATCACTCAAAACAAAAACGAATTACCTATTCCAATTAACAAAAAACTGAGTCTAAAGACCCGCTAAGCTCCATTTCAGTGCAATAAATTATAAACTTTATTAATTTAGAATTAGATGGAGAATCGCATTGTCCCCTATGTTATGGGAATACGTGAAATGATTTGTGTATTCTGTTACGTGGTAGGGAAGGCGAGAGATTACGTCTGACAAATGATGAATTGCCTACATCCCCTGCAAGGCAATCCTTGGAAATTAGTCTTGATTATGTCAGTGGGTTTTAAACCTATTTTATTTTTAGATACGTAGATACTTGTTTCCGTGAGATCGTTGAGTAAAGGGATTTGCGAATTATTAATTATTGGTTATAAATTTTATGTATATTTTAAAAAATAATTTTATTTATCCACTTTAATTAACCGACTTCAAAAAAAGGAGGTTCTCGGTTTGACTTGTATGTACGTTTGTGCGCTATTATTTTGCGATTGGCTGAACTGATTTTGATTCAGTTTTCATATTAACCGACTTTAAAAAAGAGGGTGTTGATGTCGGTTTTATTAAATGTAATTTATAAAAGATTTTTTATTAAAATATAATATATGTAATATTGTATAACCGCAATTGAATATAACATAAAACAACACTTTATACGTTCAGCCATTTTAAATACACGTGCCCCTGCCTATTACAACAAAAACGGAGTCCTAAATTAATACGTAATTTTATTGGAAAACGATCAAATATTATCATAAGTTAATTTCCCAAAGGCTCTTAAGAGTTCTTAGCTCAACGTAATTTTATTAGCATCATAACAAACCTAAATTTCTCATAAATTTAATGAGAAGTATAATTTTCGTACTTAAAACGTCTGGCGTAATTAGAATGTAGCCGAACGTAACTCATTTCGAGCTGGAAAATGTAAGAAAATACACCGTAACTCCTGAAATATTTCCTTAAAATCCCTTTGAACATGTTTTATGATCATTGTTACATTATTTTAACACCTCTTATTGTAGCACTTAGCACTAAAAAGTACCAAAAAAGTAACACTTTACCTAACTCACTACTCCTTTCGGCTTCAATCTGGGCGACCAGATCCCGGACTCGGCCATGCATCCGCGTGAAATGAACCCTGGACCGGCCATGTCTTATGAGACTCCTTCCACCATGTCGCACACCCCTCACAACATCACCACTTCTATAGCACTGCACTAGCGTCGCGATGTATATTATTATTAGCGTCCGCATTATTGGAGCATCGTGGCGTGCGCTCCCGACGACCGCGCGTCTACTACTGAAGCACGACGGTTTCGAAACGGACTATTTTTTTTAATATTTTGAATTTGACGTCAAATTGTAAATTGATATTCGAAATTCAAATAGTTCTTTGTTATAAAAAAGAAAATTAAATAAGGTTTTATAGTTTATATTTTCTTATAGGCAGCTCATATTTTTTAGTTCACAATCTCCGTCGCTGTGTATATTGCGTCTGTGGAGGATCCGAACGACGGTGATTTTTAAGAAAGATTTCTCGAGTTGCAATTTCTAAATGATATCTTGTTATTAATTAAAGTAGTCGAGAGCGTTGTACTAATAAAATTTCTATAAATATTTTCTCAATACAATCTCCAAGTATTTATTTTGCTACTTTGTGTCCTTGAAATTCCCAAGAGGTTACATTTAATTAACTAGAGAGAGTATAATTGCAGTTATTGTATTGCTAATGAAAGGATTAGAGGCGTTATTAACAATAAGTTTATGTCTTTTATTGAATTCTCTCTATTCAGACCTCCTTTGTTAAATATATTTTAGGCTTTGACTTTAAATATTAAAATTAATCCCGGGTTTCGTGACTGAGTGAAGCAAATAGAAAACTTTTGATGGATTTCAGTGACCTTTTTGTTTTATGTTTTTTAGTTAAATCAATATTAAATGGTTGCCTTATTACGTACATATATTATACTCGTAGTTGTTCTAAACTGAGGGATCCTGTATTTAATCTCCGGGCTCCGGTGATGAGTTATTAGTTTTTTTTTCTATTTGGAAATGGTTTCTAATAGCCTAGCCCGGACTGGACTGTGATTTACTTTCAATATTCCTTTGATCTTTGTCATATCATAAAGAGAATAAATGTGACATTGATTACTTTAATTTATTATTATTAAAAAGCTAAGACTTAGTAAATAATATTGGTATTACACAAGTTTTTACTAAACTCATGTCAGTTGCACATAATTGTATTTCTTTTTTAATAATGTATTTCATATAATGAAAAACTAAAGACAATAGTTTAAAGGTTGACAATAAAAGGAGTCGGGTCAATGACCTGCTGAACTGCTGATGCCACCTACATACATTCTCGTATCGAAAGTAGAATATCAAATATCAAGTATCATTTCAATTTTAAATAGGTATATATTTTTACTGCACAAATATAGTGAAATCGGTTTTATTGATCGTGTATTTTTCTTTTCTTTTATTTTCTTTTTTTTAGAACATTATCCGTGGTTCAATATTAGAGACAAGTAAGAATAGAACAAGCTAAAGATTTTTAATTCTATAAACACGGTTAAGGCAGAATGAACGAAGCCCTATAATTTCTATGAAAGTGTTGATGATTTTCATAACGAAAATTATTATTATTAAATATTTCAGTAACACTGCCTCGTTGGTCGAGTGCTCGTAAGTTCGACTGCTGGACAAAGCGTCTCGGGTTCGATTCCCGGGTCGAGCAAAGTATTAATGGTTTTAAAAAAAAAATTCACTACACAGTACAGTAAAAAATCTCAGTAGACTCGCCGTACGAGTTTAGAATTATGGCCGGTATATGGTAATAGACTCACACCCTATTACATGGGACTCATAACATAAATAGTGAAAAGTGGGTGTTACATTATATAGTGGCAGTATGTGTCGTAATGTGCACTTCTGCCTACCCCTTCGAGGATAAAAAGCGTGAAGTAATGTTATGTTATGTTATTTCAGTAACAATATTTTGCGTAAGAACTTTTTTTATACTTAAACCAAAAACTGCGAAAACTAACCACTGGACTGGTTCTAAAAAATGCACCTTAACTTAAAACTTAGAACTATGCCTTGTACACCACTTCTAAAGGCATACTCTTTTATAAAAACCTATAAGTATTTGCATTTTTAAAAGATGAACTTTCATTCTGAATGTGCTGAAGTTCAGTCAGTTCAGGTCGGCCCACGCAGTTTGGTTTATTGTTGCAGAGCAAAGAATTGTTTTCTTTTATTACCTTTACTGCCTTTGAAATAAATTAATGACCTGCCATGGCTTTGTTTGAATGTGTTATTGTTAAAAAACCTACTTAGATGAAGATTGCACGGTTTGGCATAGAGACAATCGCAAGTCAGTTTCGTCCCCGCATGGAACAACTCTTTGTGTGATCCACAAATCGTTGATTGAGTCAAATAGGAATATTTTTTTATGGCATAAGCCTGTAAGCTAGCTGACGGATCACCTGATGGTAAGCAATCGGATCGCCCATGGACACCTGGAACACCAGAGGCGTTACAAGTGCATTACCGGCCTTTTGGGGATTAGGAGTTTGAGGATCGTTGGGATTCAGGAATTGGGGAGATTGGGGAAGGGGAGGGTAATTAGGCCTCCAGTAACCTCACTCGCGACGACGTACAACGCAAGCGTTGCTTCACGTCGGTTTTCTGTAAGGCCGTGGTATCACTCCGGTCGAGCCGGCCCATTCGTGCCGAAGCACGGCTGTCCCACACTTAATTGGAATATGGATAAATACCAATAGATCAATTTCACATTTCATTCACATTCTCAAAAAAAATCACGCTTAATAAAAAGAAACTCTTGTTTGATATGCCTTAATACACAAATTGATTTAATCTACAATCTTAAAACATTGTGTTTAAAAAGCAATCAGTAAGTACGAAAACCGAAAATCTCTAGCACAATCGAAAACAAAAACTTAGTTATATAAATAATTCCACGTTCGTACTAGGTATACCTCTAAGTAAGATATCCCAATAAATATGATAATACTCGTCTATCCACTAATACACGCACGTGTATTGTGTACATTACAAACAGAACAACAGAAAACATACTTCAAACAATATAATACGCAATTCCAAAAATGTGTAATTACAACGCCGCACGCCACCGCATTAAGTTATAGTGGTATTCAAAGGCAATTTATTATTTTAATTCTCTCTAAGCATAATTGTAATTCAAAATATTCTGGTAAGGCTTTATTTTTTTATAATTACATTTGATTAGTGTCGTGGTTTAGCGATCGGCTGCCGAGCAATATATTAGTTTCGATTCTCTCATGGAGACACTTTTTGTTTTGGCCACATATTATTTTGTTATGAACTATTTCAAAAAACTAAGATTGTTTGTCTAGAATCATTTTCTGTGTCGTTTACAAATATAGATGTTCACATACTCATAACACCCAGAACCGGAATCTGTGGATCACACACAGAGTTGTTCCGTGCGGGAATCGAACCCGCGACAGGTTGCGCAGCAGCCAGTTGCCCAGCCACCACGCCACCCGTATAGTCAGCCATAATATAGCTTGGGAAGCCGAATCCTGTAAATTATAATTATGTTTGCTCGAAAAAATCATAGTTAAAGAAACAAATAAGACAAATGGTATTTCGTTCACGTAAATAATAATAATTGCTGATTGTTTATTTTGTCCAAATTACGTCACACATTGCGACTTCTGTGTGTCTCTTGCCATTCTATACTACGGTATATACGGTAGAATTCCAACCCGCCGTAGTAATATCATTATCGCTTCCGTAGGCAGTTCTACGATGCTACGAGATACCGCTACGGCGTAGCAGCGTAGCGCCATCGTAGATAATCCGCCAATTCTATAGGCACTTGGCAGCTCTAAGAATTTTGGGGTCATGGATAGTGCGTAGGAGTAGAAATATTTATGCATAGAATAATAATTATGAAACAAACACTGTTTTTAATTAAAATCTGATAATATTGTTACAATAATAACTAAAATGACATTGTTCTGGTTATGAATCCAAGGAGCGACATGTGCGAAATTTTATGGTGTTCTGGAATTTCTATGAAGCTTTCTCGTTAAACTCAAATATGTAACAAACATTTACAAAGCTAAACACGTCTTAATAAATGCACATCAAACAATATGGAGGCTTCGCTCCGTTCGTTATTAGCTCTTATCTACCCTCTTAAGGCACAATAGAGGAACAATGAGGAACCACGAAAGCCTCACAGTTATCTGTGAATAACGCGTATTAATCCCTTACGTAAATCCTATGGGGTAACCGCTTCTTCAGTTACGTTTTCATGTGTAGGCTTTTGTTCAAAAATTGTATTAAAAATGTAATGGTTGGTGCTAATCTGTTACCTTTGCTTATGAATGTCTGTTTATAAGTTAAAATCTTTCTCTTATTGTATAACAAAATATCTTACTCAACACTTAGGAACTGCTTTATTTAATTCCGTCATCATCAAGAACCCATCAGAGCTTACTACTGGACAATGGTGCATCATTAATAAAAAAGTGGGTTTGAAATAATATCCACGTTTGGAAAGAGCGTTAGAAATTACAGTTTAACTAGTTGAAAATTGTTGAAAATCATCCCCTAAATTTGTTTATATAAAAGTAGTCTCTAAACATTGGAAATAAGGTCTATAATGTAGTTAGTGGAGAGCGGTCACCGGTAACCGCTTGGGGATGTACGGGCAAGTTTATCGGAGAACACTGCTGCCTGGTCTCTGTTAAATATATGTGTGGTGTCTAAAATCTATGTGGGAGAGCCATGCTTTGGCACTAATGGGCCGACTCCCCCACTCCCTGAATCCCCAACAATCCTTAACTCGTCGAGTACCGTCATTATAGACACAATTATAGAACAATAGGTTGCGGTCACCGGTGACCGCTTGGTGTTTGACAGTTTTAATTCCTAATCTCCAAAAGTACGTCAACGCACTTGTAACGCCTTTGGTGGTCCATGTGTCCATGGGCGTAACCGATTGTTACCACCAGGTGATCCGTCTGCCTATAAAAAACTCTCATGGCAACCACGGGAAGCGAAAAGGAGGTGGAATGTGTTTTGCTGTGTCGTCATCACATGGCATATATGTAACAAGATTTCTCAAAACTATGTGACACACCTATTTGTCTATTACCGT